GGGTATGTTTGGTACCAAGCACTAAGTTTGGTGCTTGGTAGTTAGATGGAGGAATGATGTGAGTTAGATCAATTGGATGGAAAATACACCCCATATGACACCTTAGATTCAATCTAAGAATGTAACTTCAAAACAACATTATATACAATCAATTTACTTGATCTACTCTGCTCATTTTGATCAATATGTTTTGGATAGTATATAAATAAAAAATTAGGCATATTGGATTATAGTCACTCATGTATCAATTGATTGTAAAATTAGTGGTTTTATGACAACACGACTAAAGAGACAACGAAAAATATGTGTTATGAAAACATCATGTTTTTTGTTTTATAGATGTTTTGAGGCAGATAGAATTATTAGTATTGAGATACCAGTAGATATTATAGAATATTGTTAAGATATTGTGAAACGTGATTAGATATGGTTTTATCTCATATCTATTTGAGATATCAGTAGATATTATGGAATATTGTTAAGATATTGTGAAACATGATTAGATATAATTTTATCTCATATCAATTTGGTAATATCCTTCAAATCTTTATTTAAAAGAGGTTAGTGTTAGATGAATAATAACCGTCCTTTCTATTTCTCTACATGGTATCAGAGCAACTAGGTTCTTGGTTCTAGAAAACACCTATATTCTTTTTTGATCTTGGGGCCGTCTAGAAGGTTTTGCCACGAATACTGCCTTTGTGCTTCGACAGCAACTTTGACCAATTCCTAAATCCCTATGAAAAAAACCTGGCACAAAAAAAAAATCTTACCTCCAAAAAACCCTAGCTTCAGGGGAAATCTGCTTCTATCCATCAGTACTGTTCACTGTGAACTGTAACTTTTGCGATGAATAGTAGTATCTCACGGTAAAGTTCATCGTGAATAGCACCTCCGGTATCTTATTGTCATTTCTTCAACGTTCGTGCTTTCTCCGCTAAGATCTTTTGAAATTCACTATTTTATGTTGAACAAGATGCCTTGATGTTTTCATCATCAAAGGATGTGGAAATCAAGATCGACTGATCGAGCAACCGAGCAAGCAATGGATCAATCAAGGGTTCTCTCTTGTTGTTTTCTACATGCATACCTACCTAGGGTTTGTATAAGCTTACTCGCCTAGAGTTACTACTGGCTTATCCACCTAGAGTTGGTTTACCTGCTTAGCGTTTCTTCTCTGTGACTACAATTTTCTGATTTCCAACGCTTTAAGTTTTCCGTGCAAAGATGACATTACCAAGCTGTTGCAACTAGCTATTTTATTTCCATTTGTAATAAGCTAGACATATAGTGTCTATGCCCCAGCTTGAAGTTAGATATTATTAGTATTGAGATATTAGTAGATACTATGGAATATTAATTAGATATTGTGAGATGCGATTAGATATGATTTTATCTTATCTATTTTTCATTACCCTTCTCTATTTAGGAGAGGCTATGGTTAGATGAATAATAACTTTGCTCTCTCTTTCAGTCTTTCTCTATAGAGACATTTAGATCATGATGAATAGAGCAGATCATCTATTAGAATAATCTATGCCATGCATCAAGAGGTGCATCCTTAGTTCGATGCATCAAGAGGTGCATTCTTAGATTGAAAGTCAGTGGACCTCTAACCTGTTAATATAATGTTATTTCACTATCTCCTAGTCACTTTGTTAGCTACATTATGGAATGTTCATGCCGATTCTGTTTCGCTACGTGTCTGGTTTTATGAAACAAATAACAAAAACCTAGAACAATGGAAATGAGAAAATCTAGTTGTGACGTCATACAAGTTCATATTCTTTTCCATGCATAATATAGGGAGAGCTTTTAGACCTTGTTATCACCTTCAATAATCCTTTGAGATTTTTACAAGGTTTTTTGGTATTAATCCCTTACAGCTTTCATATTTTGGAATTAGACTCTCAAATCACTTAACTTTTTATTAGGTCCTCCAATTTTTAAGTTGTTTTGAAATAAATCCCTCAAATAATTGAAATTACTATTAGATCCCCCAATTCTTAAGTTATTTTGAAACAAGTCCTTCCAATCAAGAAGAGTAGCAGCTAGAGGTATTAATTTGAAACGACCTATGAGAATCGGAGGATTGGATAGCAATCCTAGTGATTTGAGGGGCTAATTTCAAAATAACTTAAGTATTTATTGAGGGATGTAGTAGCGATTTAAATGATTTGAGGGACTTATTTCGAAGTATGAAAGATTTTAGGGACTTCCCTCCATTTGCTTTCCATCTCAATTCAAAAGATGGAGATGAAGATGATAGTTGACTCTAAAAGACGGGAGAAGTGGCTAATTCTGCGAGGTAACCTCTTAAGCCTATATTTTTAGAGTAGTTGAAGATTGTATGGGTTAACGAGTTAATAGGTCAGTTTAAGCATCTGACTTGGCGAGTCTAACCTACCTAGATCAAAATTTACCATTATGGCTTTTAGTCTGAACATGACCAAAATACAATATAACGTTAGGACAGATCTGTCTGTTATGTGATTATATGTTGAAGTTTTGGATGGTCATATATCTGGCAAATTATGACCCATGA